GCCAGCATGGGAATTACGTCACATGACTTTTGGAGGGTACCACACTGGCTACCCCTGATCTGCAGCTAAAACTAAAAGAGCAATTCTTACTTTAAAGCAGGGTTTCCCATACTTGGGTCCCCAAGTATACAAAACACGCCCACCCAAAAGTCCTTTTGATCCTGCAGAACAGCTGTTGCAACTCTCTGTCTTTTCATTACTCAGATCATGCAACATGCCCTTGGAGGTGTGTTCAATGTAATTTCCCAGTTGCCAATTTTTTTTTTAATTCTTAAAGTTTTATCCTACTCCTGCCTCCAGTGTGCTCAGGGTTCTCCTCTCCGCCTCCACATCTTGCTGCAACAACCCTACAAGGTAGATCAGGACGAGCAGAGGTGGCACCTCCCGTTTCACCACTTCAAACAAGAAATGCCACCTTACACCTGCTGCTGCCACTGTTTCTGCTTCTCTGCTTGCCCTGCCACCTCCGCCGCTGGCAGTGAAGCAGCGCCAGCATCAGTGCCAATTTGGGGCAAGATCTCACGCGTTTCAGCCAATATTGGCACTGCCTCTGCACCACTGCTGGGACAGCCATGAAGTTTCTGCCTTGGGGACTTCTGCCACCTTCAGATTGTCTAATGACTGAGCCGGCTCTGAGGGTGAGGAATAGTGATTGTCATAAGAACATAAGAAGAGCTGTGCTGGATTGGGCCAAAGACGCATCATAGTCTAGCATCCTGTCCTCACGGTGTGCACCAGATACCTATCAGAAGCCCACAAATAAACTCTGAGGTCAGCCAATTAGTGGAGATTTGAAATGGGTCCCTCAGTTCTAGTTGAGCTCTGAAATCAGCACATTACACCAGTTCGATACACATTGGAAGTCGCCCAGAGTGGCTGGGGCAACCCAGTTAGATGGGTGGGGTATAAACAGTAAAATTATTATTAGTGGAGTAGTAGTATGGAATAGGACATCCCTATTTTCATTAGAGAAATGTTGGAGGGCATGGGTTCACCTAGGGTGGGTTCCCACCATTTTCTTTCTTTCCACCCCTCTAATGACACCGCTTCCTGTACTTTTAACAGTGCCGAAGACATGTGGAGATTTAATAAGCAAAGCCCTTCCTGGCATGAAGGTAAGAGGCCAGGGAAGCTTCACCTCCTTGAATTTCTGTGTGAGGCAGCTGCTTCTGCTGCTTCCATTAAAGGCAAGTACATTCACACACCCCACAACACCCAAACATTTGCCACTGTGACATTCAGAGATAAAACTGAATGCTCCTCGCAGTTATGGTAAAAAGGATGCCGTCATCACTGAAGACCTGTTTTTAAAAACCCTGTAGTAAATGATGCAACCAGCATGATTCAGTTCTATTTTAAGGACCTGACACAAGAAGGCTCTGCTGTTCCGAGCAGGCATGTGCCAGATTCTGAGATTTTTCACTCTTTCTTTTATTATCAGCTCTTTTGTCTCAACAGCCTGGCTGTGCATCATCACCGCTAATTTGCTGAGCCATGCTGGTAGATTTAAAAGAAATTTATTCGTTTAGACAGGGATTGGTTTTTTTGTTTCACACTCAGACGGGAGCCTTGCACAAACAATAGGCAGAATTAGTAGTGGGTGGACCACCCATGTCTCACACCAAATTGACTTGGAAATAAGCGCCGCCGTTTCCCACAAAATCTAGAAATAGCTCAACAGATAGTTAAACTGGTCCAAGTTCAGCCTAGCTGAATTTGAAGTCCCCACCTTCAGGTCCTCATTTCCTTCTTACCAATCCTTCACTCCTGGTAGCCCCAAGGAAATGACCTTGCGGTGACTCTTGAGAAAACCACATTTTCCAAAGGGCACTGGGGTCTTGGATTTGGAAACCTCTTCCTTCCCCTCACCCTGTGGCTTCTTGCCATCCACAGCCATGCAGGTAAGGGGTGGCGGGGGGTTGAAAATTGTGGCATAACGGTTAGAGTGTTGGACTAGGACCTGGGAGATCAGGGTTCAAATCCCCGCTCAGCCGCTCGCCTGCTCACTGGGTGACCTTGGGCCAGTCACCATCTTGTAGCCTAACCTACCTCATAGGGTTGTTGTGAGGATGAAATGGGGAGGATGCAAACCATGTGCCCCACCTTGAGATCCTTGGCAGATAAAAGTGGTATGTAAGAAGAAGAGGAGTTTGGATTTGATATCCCGCTTTATCACTACCCGAAGGAGTCTCAAAGCGGCTAACATTCTCCTTTCCCTTCGTCTCCCACAACAAACACTCTGTGAGGTGAGTGAGGCTGAGAGACTTCAGAGGAGTGTGACTAGCCCAAGGTCACCCAGCAGCTGCATGTGGAGGAGCCGGGAAGCGAACCCGGTTCACCAGATTACGAGTCCACCACTCTTAACCACTACACCACGCTGGCTCTTAACCACTACACCACACTGGTATGTAAATGTAATAAATAAATGAAAGTACACAAATATAATTTCATCTGTCATATATGGAAATTCAGACCCACGGGATGTATTTTTATTTGTATCTCAGAACTTGTGACCCAACACTAACCAGCTCTAGCAACGCTAACAAATTAAATAAAAATGGAAAGGCATCTCAGTGTAGCCCAAATTCCAAGAGCAAGACCAGTGAATGTGATAGGCATCAGGGAAGTGATCCTCCTGCCTCTAAAGCAAGGGAAATTATTCACTCAGTAACATGAAACAAAATACTTACAGTAAAGGGAAAGGGCCTCTGTGCCCCCACCTGCCCTGTCCTTTTGGACCTTGTCATGCTTGTGATGTTTGTGGGCACAACTACAGATCCAAGATTGGAGGGTGGTTTAATACACCAATAGCACTGAGTTGAATCATCGTTTTCAAGACTCCGCCGTCTACATCTTTGAGGTTCCTTACTGTGCTGATGGAATGACTATCAACTTCTAGCCAGGAGGCTTCCAAGAAGCGGAATAGTAGATCATATCAGGCAGAGCTAGGCCTATTTGCAGCAGCTGGGAATCTAGGCCCCGTCCCACCAAGAGGCAAGTCCGCAAGTGTTTCTGCCATTATATACTCACGCAATGGTGGTTGTTTTTTTAATCAAAAGTGAAAAGTCACATTGATGGCCTTTTGGATCTGGGCTAGAAAGAGCTCGCGTTTTAAGAGAAAATGGCAGAAATAAGAAATGGGAGGCAGCAAGACGATAGCCCTTCCTGCAGTGAACCAAACAATCAATCCAGTTCAGTGTTATTTGATTAAATGCAATTTATTACTGAGATCATGCCAGCGTTGGGGCTGTGCATCTGTCGACGGAGGTGAAATTTGATGTAGTTTGTACTTAAAGGCAAACTTAGCAAATTCACACTTTCCCAGAAGAATCAAGCAACATTATTCTTAGAAATTTGCATTTCTGTGAATTCTGCAGTGCAGTTCTCCAGCCAGGTGCAAAAATGCATAGATTAAGGGAACGTTAGCGAAAATAACATGCATGTATTAGTGAAAACGGCTTGCAAAAATGTGTATATTTGTTAAAATATGCATACGGAAATGTGTTGATTAGGAAAAGTTTGCAACAGAACACTGATTAATTTCAATTAAATAAATGGCAAACTGCTGCAGCAACGTGGCAAACTGAATTTTAGACTGGGGGAAAAAGAGAAATTGGGAGAACGAAAATTGACAGCTCGGTCCATCCCTATTGGCTGGAAATTCCCCACATTTTGTTTTTCAAACATGCAGGATGTTCTTGCCTCACCACCGTGGGAACAGCTGCCTTTGCAGGAGCTAAACTAAAACTTTACAGCCAGGCTTTGAAATCTCTTTGTTAACAAACAGGAGAACAGGGGTTGGCAGCAGGTTGACTTAACTGATTAAGCAATTAAACACAAATGCTATGCAGTGGGTAGCATTGAAACTGCCTGGGGACTGCTATCACTCTGTATAGCTTTTGTTTCTGAGGCTTACCTGCCACTGCCACTGCCTCCAATAGAATCATATATATATATATATATATATGGCTTTGTTTGGGTTGCATAGGTTGAGCGAGGAAGGGGAAGCATGCCTGGGAAGTGTCACGTTACAACCAGTGAGTTCAATGAAGGGCAAAGGCCTTGGGAAGCTACTGCTATACGCAGAGGGAGTGCCGAAGTTCTATAACTTGTTTTGACTTGACTACTCAAGACCATTCCATTCCATTCCATTCCATTCCAATCAGGCATTCTGAGTGTCAGTTTGTTTCCTGGAAGTCACACCATATTCAACAAGGTGACCCAAGAGGCTGAAACAGAGATCACTGTTGTTTTTCCCCTCTTTCCCTTTTGCCCTTCATCTAAAGAGTCCAAGGTGGCATGGTTTCCTTCACCCATTTTAGTCTTACAACAACTTTGTGAGGTAGGAGGGGTTGAGAGAGAGAGGGAGGGAGGGAGGGGAAGATCGGCATACTGTCCAAAACTGCAGCACGAGTCTTCCAAGATGCACTCCTGGGTGAATCACAGGACGTGTGCATGCAGCACCAAAAGAGAGCGTTGTTTTCTTCAGGGCCACAGCACACAAGAACACGGCACTGAAAATGGCTGCCGTGATCTCGTGCGAAAAAACAGGGCGTCTCGTTTTTTCCAGGGCACTTGGGAGGCCTGCAGGTAGAGAACTGATCCTAGGTGAACGCTCTAACCTAACCTTGCCCAACCTGGTGGCCTTCCTGATATTCTGGATTATAACTCCCATCATCCACGACTATTGATCATGCTGGCTTGGGCTGGCAGGAACTGTAGTCCCAAACATCTGGAGTGCCCCAGTTGCTGTAGTGATTACATCACACTGGCTTTGTCATGTTGATTAGAAAGTCTAGCTATTAAGGCTCACCTTATTTTGAAACACAGAAATAGATGGGGTTGCAAGACCCTCATCCCCAAAGATACAACCATACTACATTGGCTCCCAGTACTTTTCCGAGCACAATTCAAAGTGTTGGTCCTGACCTTTAAAGCCCTAAACGGCCTTGGCCCAGTATACCTGAAGGAGCTTCTCCATCCCCATTGTTCAGCCTGGACACTGAGGTCCAGCTCTGGCAGTTCCCGCACTGCAAGAAGTGAGGTTACAGGGAACCAGGCAGAGGGGCTTCTGGATAGTGGCACCCGCCCTGTGGAATGCCCTCCCATCAGATGTCAAGGAAATAAACAACTATCTGACTTTCAGAAGACATCTGAAGGCAGCCCTGTTTAGGGAAGTTTGTAATGTTTGATGTTTTATCTTTTGTGTGTGTGTGTGTGTGTGTATACCAATACAATATTTATTTATTTGCCCCCTCTGAGCTGGACAGATTTGGTTAACAGATGGGCTTCCCCTATCTGCCACAGAACAATCAGGTTGTCGTACACACTGGACTAAACACAGGGGGAAAAGAGAGGAGAGCACATGACAGGCAGCACATCCAGCTCCTTCGCATTGCAAAGAGAACGAGGAATGCCACCCTCAAGCAGAACAGCCCCATGGCCTCAGAGAGTGGGAAACCCAGGATGGTATAGGAGAAGAGCTGCTGCTTCAGGGAAGGGTTTCTGGCATAGCCAATGATAAGACTGCCAAATATGGTCCCGATGCCAGCACCAGAACCAGCTACACCTACGGTGGCAGCGCCAGCACCAATAAACTTGGCGGCAGTATCAGTGTCCCTGGAAACAGTGCTGGTTTGGAACTCCCGGTGCAACACTGGCAAGAGCTCACTGTGAGCACCTGAGAGACAACAAGGCTCCTTCGTCCTGACCTCAGGCCTGTTCAGCACAGAGGCAGAGATGGGCCTACAGAGCAGCTGGGAACTGTTCTTTATAAGGGCGGGAGCAGAGACGAACTTTGCACAGGTATACATATTCAAGGACGTTGGGGGTGGCCACACTCAACAGCTGCTGCTCAGGGAAAGACCGTGAGAGAAGGGCCTCCTTTCGCGCATGCCGTTTTATCGTGTTTTTAATATTCTGTTGGAAGCCGCCCAGAGTGGCTGGGGAAACCCAGCCAGATGGGCGGGGTATAAATAAATTATGATGATGATGATGGTTATCTGCACTGATCAACCTGAATTTAATTTCCATCAGCAAGGGAAAGCTTATTTGTTTGCAAAAGCTTTTGCCATTTGGTAAGGGGAAATCCTGTTAGAACCCAAGCACACGTCACAAAGCAACCTGATGTATCATTAAGCACATAGTATTTTGTTGTTTAGGTTTGTACATTGTCTCAAGTACTTTGGGGCAGATTGTGATGTATAAAAGCAATAAATGAATGAATATACCTGAAGGGGTACGGACTAACTTCAAAGTTCATATATTCATATATTCCTTGGGGCTCATGGGACAGTTAGCTATTGCTGATTTTCACCAGTTGGTAGATCTTGTACAATTTCCTTATAGTTAAAAGCCAACAACTGTACATCCCCAAAACACCACCTTGGGGCAACTTTGTGAGGATGTTGTGGTCCTCCTATCTTTCCAGTTTCCAATGGAAGTCATCACCACTCAAGGTTTAATTTTATTTCCCCCGTCTCCTTTTCGAACCACAGATTGTCACTCATTATTCTGTTTATAAGGAGTGACAGATTTCAGGGGGAGAAAAAATGCAAAGCTGGCAGGTTCTGAGCTCTTGCGCTGATGGCAACTTATCGTGTCATTGAGCCTTTTTAGCACCAGAGACATCATTCTGGCTTCATAATCCCTTCGGAGAATTCCTTCTTCCAACAAATATAGACAAGTGCTGTCATGGTGAGCGGAGGGAGAGGAAAAGAAAAGCCCTTTTCCTCCGAAACTATTTGCCATCCAGGAACAGAAAATGATGAAAAGAATGGCTTTCCATAACCGAAAGGATCAGGTGTTTGCTGATGAGAAAATGATGCTGCGAACTCAGTGTCTGGGTCAGTCGTCCCGTCCCCCCAGTGTCTCTTGCTCATGTGAAAGTCACTTGCGAGATACAGTGTGGTATCTGCAGACAGCTGTCCTACTGGGCACTGGACAGACAGAATGGCTAGCATTGCTGAGCTATGTAGTCATTTGCGAATGGAATGAAGCTCTTGCATTTCACAGTGATTCACATATGCAGCATGGTTACACTGCAAGACTCATCCCCTTTCCCCCTCCCTCCCGCCCCTTGACACTAGATCTGGCTAGTTAACATGCCTGGAATGAGAAAGCACCTATCTCGGAGCTGGCGGGGCTGAGGGCGTACTCGGATTCCCAGGTTGGAAGATTATCTCACTCCAAAGAAGTTCTTCCAGCAATATATAAGCTAAACTAGATTGGTGTTATCTCAGTAAAGCTGCCTTGGGTGGAGGAGGCATCCATCCTTAAAGGAGTACCACACACACACACACCAAGAGATCACTATCGTTCTTTGATAAGCGGCAGCAACTATGATGATGCTGAGAGTGGAAGAGCTGGTAGGTACAAAACTCACCTTTCATAGTAACTGCTGTGTTAAGGTTTGAACTGCGTCCAGTTTAATTGTGCCCTGGATATTACATTCTTCTGCAAACTGTCTCTTATTAATGTGATGATTTATACCACTGCGAGAAGCTTGGCTGTTCTTTTGGTGGTAGTTTTAACCTGTGCCATGCATGATGACTTGAGCAGATTGTGCTGGGATGTAATTCTGAAGGCGGCCCTGTTTAGGGAGGCTTTTAAAATTTGATGTAGTACAGTATTTTAATATTTTTTTGGAAGCCGCCCAGGGTGGCTGGGGAAGCCCAGCCAGATGGGCGGGGTATAAATAATAAATTATTATTATTATTTTGTCCAGCTGAGTTTGTGTGGTGGTTAAGAGCAGGAGCTAAGAGCTGAAAATCCACCCAATTCAAATCTCAGCACAGCTGTGGGCTTGCCTGGTGGCTTCAAGCAGGCTGGTATCGCATAGTCCCAAGCCTTTATTGCATTATATCACGAGGTAAATAATGTTGGCCTACCTTACAAAGTTGTTGTAACGATGACTGAAATGACGTGTGAGATGCCTTAACAACACAGGGGAAGCATTAATGAAATACTAAGCATCTTTGCTGAAGAAAATGGTCTAACTTTAGGGTAGTCCCAGAGTGTATAAATCGGATTATGTGCTGTAAAAATTATGTAAGAAAAACGGAGCTGGTTCTACCTTTGGAGATACAATGGACTCTTAAAGAAAAAAACAAAGGAAGGAAGGAATATCTGCTTATTTTTTTGCCATCTTTTGATCCAATGGGACCTTCAAGGTGGTTCAAAACAAACTATAACTATTATCTGTGCTGGGAACAGGGATGGATTACAGCTCCTAATCTCATAAATTACATGTGATTCAACTCTTGCCAGCTGCGTCCAAATTAACATCTAGGCAAAGAAACTCGTGAGCATGTTTCCAGCTATGTTTGAGCTGTGCCAAGCACGCAAGCTGGATTCAGAAGTAATTGGGAACAATTCCGGGCAGGATAATAAAGAGCCAAAAGGAGTTGAGTGGCTTAATAGGCCTCTTCTCACCTCTGATGTTCATAACTGCTATTGATGACAGATCCCTTGATCCCTTGTTGTACTGGTTGGGGCTGATGGAAATTGTCATACACAACCTCTGGAGTTCAGAGTTCCAGAAGTACAATGATAATTCTCTATGAGGTGACTGCATAGTAGGTGATAATGTTTAGGTCCAGAACATCGGAAGGGTACCAGATTGGCTAGCCCTACTTTAGACTTAGCAACCCAATGCACCCCTGGCCCACAGCACCCAAATCTCCTTTTGCCTGCCCATTTCCTTCATCTGTCGAGTTCACAGACCCTCCTACCCCTAAGCCCAAATATGTGGCTTTACCCCAGTTTTACTTTCCCCTGGATTTCTCCATTCTCCCGCCTGCAAGCCTGCAATGCCCATCCCATCCTCAAGTCTTTATTTTTCAGACCACTGTCTTGTTGGGCCACTTGCTTCAGTAACCTTGTCTCTTGACGTCCTCCCTCTCATTCCTGTATTCCTGTCCCAAATGGCAGAGAGCTCATTGTAAGTGCTATAAGCTAAAGATAACCCAAGCTGCCTGCTTCAGCTACCTTATTTCATTCTTTTCTAGCCTGGTTGCTGGACTCCAGCTGTCACCATCCTTGACCTTTGGCCATGCTGGCTGAGGACGATTAGAGTTGGAGTCCAGCAAGGTCTGGTGGGCACCAGGTTGGGGGTGGCTGACTTTTTTTCTCAGGCCCTTTCCCCAAGCCTCACCTTTTTTTCTTTCTGGTCCACTCCCTACTTTGCACCCTTTCTTCAACCTCCTCCTTGCCTCTGACCTTCATGCTTCTTATCTCCCCTGAATACATCTTTCCCTCCATCAACAAACCTTATAAAGCCGTCTCTGGGTCATGCGAAAGGTGTTAAATTGACAGCTTTCCTTTCCAGATGCTGGGCTAGGCACATTTCTACCTGTTCCCTGAGCATTTGGAATCAGATGAACAATGTTCAGTGCCATGATTTCAACTCGTCCATTGCTTTCCGAAAAGGCACCCTGTCTTTGAGCCATCATTTTCACCTCCGTTTCCTCAGTATTTCTCGAGGGCTGCTTGCCCTGTCCTCACGTGTTAGCTCTGCTTCTCAATATGTCAGAAAGCAAGGCGTTGACACTCTTGAACCATTGTTCCTTTGACAGGTGACAGGCAAAAAGGCAGACGGTAGAGAGACAGGAGATTTCCTCCCAGAGGACTTCAAAAATGGAGAGTATGAAGCTGCCGTAAGGTTAGAGAAACAAGAGGACCTGAAGACCCTCACGGACCACTCAGTGGCACGACACAATCTGACCTACAAAGAAGAGAAAGCACTTGAAGCTGAGGTAAAATTGTGTTTCTTGTGTATCTTTTTGCACTTCTGGAACTCTGAAGTTTCGAATTCCTGTGGTCTGCCCTCTAACTAAGAAGGGAGTTTAGAAAAATAGGTCCTGATAGATGTACACTGGAAACCAGTAGAAAGATTCCCAACCCCCAGGGTCTTGTTACATTGCCAATATGTTATTAACTGGGACTCAACATATCCTAATTATAACTAGAAAACCAGGAATGAGAGGAAATTAGAAGGGATAGGCCACAACTCCCTAGGGAATACACCTGTTTTACATTTAAAAAGCCCACACTCTACATATTCAGTGTATTCAGCTAAAAGTGTCACAAACTACAGGATTGGGGAAATGGTGTCTCTGAAAATCTGGAAAATGGCTACCAGTTATGGCTGAAAGCCACGGATTAGAGACAAACCAAGACATTTTGGTATTTGAAGCAAAAACTAATCCCAAGTCTCCAGGCAGATATCTCTCCTCTTCACTGGAGATGCTGGGGATTAGGGATGGACAAATTTGTTAATTTCATTTTCTCATTTCCCTACCTGCATCAATTTGTGATTTATATATTTTTTTTAAATCTCATAAAAAATTATCACTTTAATGTAACTGTCTACTATACATATACTTCCATGCAGTTTTGCCTGCTATACATATCCTCCCCACAACAGAATGCATTTTATATGTTATTTTCAGGAAAATATGCAAATTTTGTCTTAATATATGAATTACAAAAGAACTGCAGCGAAAATTCAGAGAAGTACAATTTTGTGAAGATAGCTTGTGTTTTGGTTTGCACATAGGCCAGTTTGCATTAAAATGTGAATCAAATTTCTCACCCATCTCTGCTGAGACAATTCACACTGAGGCTTTCTGCATGCAACTAATGTGTTATCCCACCCCTCACATGCCAAGGATATATTGGGACATCTGGGTGTTCCTCCTTAAAAACATTTTTGCCTTCCGTTTATAAGATAAGGTCATCTGCAATTGTTTGGTTCAGTGCCAACAGAATTATGCCCATCATTTCAAGAATGGCAACATTATTAAAAATCTTCCTCAATGAGAACAAAATTTTAAGGTGGGCAATAAAAATAAGATTCCACCAACCCTTCCTCAAAGATATATGAAAATAGGAAAGACATTACTGGAATTTAAATCCACAGACTTTTCCTTTGAAGTAACAGATTATTGTGAGCTGGTGATTTAGCATTTTACAGCTTCCCTGGCGATGGATTATTCAAATGAAGAATTACATAACAGGGTTAAGTTTAAGGGGATCCAAATTCTACATGGGTTTTAAAGGGTTTTGAATCAACCGCCCCTTCCCCAGCCCAAGACACTTTTTGCAATGAAGGTTCAACTTGATACTTGATCAAGAATCATTCCAAAAAGGAGATACAGTGAATCTGCCAGAGCAACAATCATTCTGCATTTGGGGGATAAATTATGTCACTCATTAGCACCTTGTTCTGTGAAAAGCAAGTTGGGTTGTTACTCTACATTAAAGATGTAGCCTGCGCTTTAAATATAGGCTGACACGTATTTATAACTAGAATAAATTCTAAGGAACATGTGACCCTGTGTTATGTCTGGATGGTTCCTTAATCACTTATCCGTCTCACATTTAAATAACTAGTAGCATTTTTTCAGCAGAATTTCAAGTGGTATCTTTAAATTTGAATTGGAGTATTGACATTAGCGTAGTATTAGTAGCTGAAGTAACGCCTTTTCTGATTATTTTAACTGTTGAAGGGGATTCCAAGGAGATTGTATGTTGAAGCTAATGTTATTGTTCCTTATATTGCTCTAATTTCTTGGCAGTCACTCACAATGGCTACTTCCAGTGCCTTTTTCCTAGAGACGTGCCAGAACTCAGCATGAACAGTTCCCTTGTTCTCTTAGAATGGCAGTAGCGCCCACCTGAGAAGGGCTGGAACTGAGTTCCATTGAGTTCTGGCAGGGAAAAAAAGCCCTGGCTATTTCCACCATTGGAGGTTGCAACTCTGAATACCAGTTGCAGAGATTCACAAATGGGAGCAGGACATTTGTGCTTGCCGGCTTTCCACAGGCATCTGGTTGGCCACTGTGATAACAGGATGCTGGAGTGGATAAAACAGTGGTCTGGTCCAGGAGGGATCTTCTTATGTTCTTATTTGCTTTTGTTGTTGTTGTTGTTCAGATCAAGAAAAAGAAATTAGAGGCGAGACCAAAACTTGAGAGCTTGGAAGATCTTGAAAAAATCATTCAGCTGAAGAAAAGGAAAAAATTCAAGAAGGTTAAAGTGCCCGTTGTAAAGGAGCCTGAACAAGAAGTTATAGTAAGTTCAGGGGCAAAATAGTCTTCTTTGCTATCTTTATGGGGTTCCCCCACAAGGAACTGAACTAACTCTTATTTCTGCTCTCCATCAGACTGAACCCGTGGATGTTCCAACATTTTTAAAGGCGGCCTTGGAGAACAAGATGCCAATAATTGAAAAATACCTGGCAGACAAAGGAGATCCAAACGTTTGTGATGAGGTATGATTTGTTCATCAATTTCTGTCCCAAATCTCCTATAAGGCGCACATCTTTGATCTTAGCTTTAACAGTCATGGCTTTCCCAAAGGATTCTGGGAGTTGTAGTTTGATGAGGGTAGAGAAGGTTCTCTCTTTAAAGAGCCTGATCTCTCCCCAACCACTGCTGTTTCCAGATCTCCGTAGGGAGAATGAATGCCTCTCAAACCAGTATTTAGAGGTTTTTATGTCCTCCTTAAAAATTATATTTTAAGGTTAAATTTAAAAACCACCACCACTCTGTCAGTGTTACCTTTTGAAGCAGATACACTTTTCACGATTAAAGTATTCTGAACTCCCAACACAGGAGAGCATTATTTCTTTAAATGGGCCTTCAAGCAATATCAAAAATCTATTTCCTTGTGCTTGTCGTGTTTTGTCTTCATGAATTTATGCTGTTTAAATTGTACAGCTAAGAGAGCCTACTGTTACTGAAGGTTGGCTTATAAACTGACAAAACTAAACAAGTTAAGTACATAAATGCCGTACGGGGCTGTTGTTAACAAAAGACTGAAATTATGATTTATCTGGCATTGTATACATATCTGTACATGACACCATACATGGTAATGAAAGAGAAGGCCTTGCCTTCGGGAGCTTAATTTAAACGAGGGGGAGGGAAGTTTAGCGAGGCGTGAGAAGGAAATGAAAAACTTTACATGTGCATGTCTTGTTTTGGTAAGGGTGAGACGGGCGGGGTTAATTTATGTGTAAAGTGTTTTGAATATTCAACATGCTAAGGGTTGTATGATTTATTTCAAAGCCTTGCAGGTTAAAACTGACCACACTATGACTATTCCTTTTGACAGTACAAGCGCACAGCTTTGCACAGAGCATGCTCAGAAGGGCACCTGGCAGTTGTGGAGAAGTTAGTAGAAGCAGGAGCCCACCTTGAATTCCAGGATATGGTAAGTGTTCATTGGACACACGCACAGTTCCTTGGGGTGGTTCACACAGACACACATTCGCTACTCATCCACTGTAACCATCAATAAGCCATGCCTAGCCTGTTGCAGATGGAACCACTACAGTGGTACCTCGGGTTACAGATGCTTCAGGTTACAGACTCCACTAACCCAGAAATAGTACCTTGGGTTAAGAACTTTGCTTCAGGATGAGAACAGAAATCACACAGCGGCAGCGCAGCGGGAGGCCCCATTAGCTAAAGTGGTACCTCAGGTTAAGAACAGTTTCAGGTTAAGAACGGACCTCCAGAATAAATTAAGTTCTTAACCCGAGGTACCACTGTATTACCTCCTGCTATCTCAAACACAAGGCTTTTCTTTTCAATAAAGTTTTTTATTTTCCAAAGTAATAAAACTTTTATCAACAATAACAGGGCACAAGTTTAGTGGCTAAGAATCATCAGGATATGAGTAATTAGGTGCTGAAAACTCACATCATATGTGAACCAGTTGACAAATATTTATTATTATTTTCCTCTGGCGTAGCTTGAATCCACAGCTATTCATTGGACCTGCCGTGGCGGCAACGTGGAAATCCTGAAGTACTTGCTGAACAAAGGAATAAACAGGAATGCTAGAGATAAGGTAAGCTATTATTATTTCAGTTTGAAAAACTGAGGTGGGAAAAGTTAAAAGTGGATTTGCGAGCTGTTTGTACAAGAGGACCTTTTAGATCTGAGCTCGTTGTTTCTCACCTTAGAATGCCTTGCCCTGCTTCTGTTGATTATGTCTCTCCCTGCCCTTCCTTTTCTACCAGTTGCTCAGCAGTCCTCTACACGTGGCTGTAAGGACAGGTCAGTACGAATGCGGGGAGCACCTCATCGCCTGTGAAGCAGATCTCAATGCCAAAGACAGGGTAAGCCAGGGGTCAGCAAACGTTAATTCGTTCTGCGAGTTTTTTCGTCTTGCGAGTTTTTTCATCTTGCGATGCACAGTTTCCATTTTTTCAAAAAAATCTTCAAAAACCTCAAAAAAGGCTACCACACCGCGTGCTATGAGTTGCTCCTCGAAGTCAAGGCCTTCTCGGTAGTGGCGCCCGCTCTGTGGAACGCCCTCCAATCAGATGCCAAACAGATAAACAACTACCTGACCTTTAGAAGACATCTGAAGGCAGCCCTGTATTGGGACGTTTTCAACGCTTAATGTTATTTTATGTTTCTAGATATGTTGGAAGCTGCCCAGAGTGGCTGAGGCAACCCAATCAGATGGGTGGGGTACAAATAATACAATTATTATAATACAGCACAAATCACTTCTGTAGCATGCTGGTCTGTTTTCAAGGAACGTGCATTATTGCAGGAATTTGGTGACTGTAGCCCTATTGTCTCCCAAATCCACCAACCCCAGCGAGCATAAGCAATAGTGAGGGATGGTGGAGGTGCAATGACACCTGCAGTTTACGGGCTCCCCATTGCTCAGTTAGTGTCTTTAGGGTAGCAAAATAGCAGATGATTGTGATCTCTAAAGGAAACTTCAGGGAGAGAATAGCAATAGTACTTAACATTCCTTTGAACTACCCATTTCAACTCAGCTTCACAACAGCACACTTAAATAATAATCATTATCACTATTGGGTGCAAGATGATGGTGTAATTTATTGAGTACTTTCACTATTACGCAAGTAGAGCCTCAAAGCTCATCATATTCATTTTTGTCTCCTCTGTTCTAGGAAGGAGATAGTCCTATGCATGACGCAGTGAGACTGAATCGTTATAAAATGATTCGACTCCTGATCATGTATGGTGCCAACCTAAACATGAAGAATGCTGTAAGTATTCCCTAACTCTTTGCTGTTTTCCTAAGTAAGCCATGTTGAGTTTATAAAGAAAATCAGGGCACTAGTTACTAAAATAAAAACACCAAAACGACCGCAGTAGGATTGGATTGCATCTAACTTTTGCTAGTTTCCACGTTCGTAGATTTTGCTGTCCACATTCACTTTCTAGTCTTGAACACTTGTGCTAGCAAATTGACCGGTTGTGAGGAATAGGTGCAACTGGGCAAGAAAGATGCACTTGTTGAATGGAACTGGTGTCTGTGGGGGATGCATTCATTGCCCATGCACCACTCTCAAAGTTGTCATGCACCCGGAAAGACATTTTTTGATGCATTTGTCACTTCAAAGAGGCATAAGCAGTCATAATTAAGAGAGCTTCCCACTACCACATCTGCAGATGGCTAAGTCACAGAAACAGAGAGCAATGACGACATTTCAAGGGGGTAAATATTAATGCCGTTTTCCTAACTTTCCTTCATAGGAGGGGAAAACTCCAATGGATCTTGTTCTGCAGTGGCAAAATGGCACCAAAGAAATATTCAACAGCCTGAAGGAGAACTCTTACAAGAGCTCCCCTATAGACACATTCTGAAGACTCAAAACGTCAATGGACTGGACAGTTTCCTTGCAAAAAGCAAAATATCACCAATGTGAAGAGCAGGAGCATTATAAATGCCGCCACCTTCACAGAATACAAGCATTTTGTCCTGCTGCCTTTGCTAAAGCCACAAGGAACCAAAAGAGGGTCCTGAAATACTTCAAAGACAGTTTCGAGTGTTGAGAAGCCTCTGATATCAAGCTGGTTTATTTATTTCTATTCCATCATTTCTCCCATAGTGTTTCTTTTCCGATATTTTCAGTAAGTCATGTTGGTACTGCTGTTCTATAGAAAAAGACCATCTTACTAATGTGGTAATCTGAACCAGTCAGGAGCATTAAGCCCCTTTAAAAACCACACACAAGCCAACAGGCTTTCAGAGCCTATTAGCAGTGTTTCCCATTAAACCCTCTTTCGATAGACAGTATTTGTTATTGTCACCCGGGTTCTGCTGAATTGCTATTGTCAGAGCAAGCTGTTAAAAAAGCAAAGATCAGAGGGTTGGAGAATAGTAGTGAGAAAAAGGGGAAAGCAAAGTGGAATAAAAAAAAGGAAGGGCTCTGCTCTTCTGCGGAAGTTTTTAATTCAGGCTACCTGAACTACACAAGAGGCAGCCAGCATGGCACTGTCCTGGTGTTGTGGGATTAAACCTCCCTACCAACCCCATCGACTGGCCATGCTGGCTGGGGCTGGTGGGAATTGGGAGTCTAGGAACCTCTAGAGGTCGCCATATTGGCTACCTCTAAACTGCAGTGTTCAAGACAGGAAGTTGGGCAGACGAAGAGGACGGAATCCAAAGATGAAGAGGAAAAATTGCTGTTACTGTCGAAGCTCGATATTGTAACAAATGGTACTGTATATTTGTATGGCTTTTTATGTACATTTTGTATTAAACCCTATTTAAACGTTTTAAAAGAAGCAACAGAACTGCTCGCTTTAATCTACCTGAATGTATTATTTCTTCATCTGATGATGTTATGAGGGATAGAAGATGCTGGAGGTAAGAGTCATGGGGGAAAGGAAGTACACCTTCTTTGAACTCTGTGGTTTTACATATCAGGACATAACAGCAATCTGTTCCTTAGCAGCTCTTAAAATTAGGTAAATACAACCTCAGATGAACAACAACACATGTCATATTACACCATGATTTATTCAACAAAAATAAAGCCAAAATGTCCTCATGTAAAACTACAGAATTCAAAGAGGGTGTACTTTCCTTCTCCCATGTGTTTGTGTGTACACACAACAGACGTTTCAACCAAGATGAAAAATTGGATACCATCTTCTTCAAATGTCACATTTCTCAATGACTTGAAGGGAACTAAGACAGCCCTATCCCAAACCATTCCTACTGTCTAGCTCAGGTCCAGATTCTATAGAAACTTACCACCAGACCACTTTATAACCGATAAAGCTCAAGTAGCATCTTAGTTGAATTAAAGGAGGAAAAGTCAGTGGCAAGAGGACGCACACACTTTGCAAAGTAAACATTTCTGAATGATTTTTAGTTTACTCAGAGATCAAAGCCAAGCCCAATCAGTTCTGCCAAGGCAAGAGTTTCAGGCAGTGATGCACGTCAGTTGCAAAATAAATATGAAATACTTTTGAAGCTGTAACAGCAACACCTGAAGCTACTTGGTAATAAGCAATCCTGACGGTATTTGCTGGCATTCCTGTTGAGTGTTTCAGGGCCACAGCCCACAAACAGCCATTCCTTTATCTTGTGAACCTCTCTGAGATCTTCCAATGAAGGGCAGTATAAGATAAATAAATAAATTATTATTATTATTAATATATTTAATGGCACTAGCGAGCAGGCCTTTGGGACACAATGTAGTTGCAATGCAAACCCTTTCAAACTCTTTGCTATTGGGGATCTAATTAGATGCAAGGGAAGCCCAACCCATGTGCTAGAATATACAAATTTCGGAGAGAGCATACAATGGTGCTGAGAGGAGAATTAGGGGCAATTTAAAGTGGAGAAGCAGAAGGAAAAGGGCTGAGCACTCCCTTCCAAAACCACCTATCCCAGGCTTCCTCAACCTTGGTCCTCCAGATGTTTTTGGCCTACAACTCCCATGATCCCTAGCTAGCAGGACCAGTGGTCTGGGATGATGGGAATTGTAGTCTCAAAACATCTGGAGGGCCAAGGTGGAGGAAGCCTGACCTACCCTCACTTGATTTCCTCCTGGGAAGGCTTGCTTCTGGCCTTGGATCCTAGTCACAAGAAAAGCGGAACTTTTCTGCTAACCTTCCCTTTTCTGCATGAAATCGCCTCTGCCCACCCTCCTCCACTCTGTCTCCTTTGGAAGGTAACCAGTGTTCCAGAGAACAGTTCTGCTAGTGTCATAATGAGCAGCTCCTTTTAATTCAAACCCTTAATTTAACGCAATAAAAAGAAAAGCTCTTAGAACTTCTCTCCCTCCTCACACACACCTTTGGGGAGAAAGCCAATTATAGCCTTAGGAAACTGAAGATAAAAGGGCATGACGTGGAAGAATAGACATTCCAAGATAATGAGACAGAAAGCACCAGCCAAGTCTTAATTCTCTTGTTCCCGTCAAGGTGAAGATGGCTGTTGCAATTTCAGCTGGGCAGAAAGTAAGCTGTGTCTTATATGCGTAGGCAACAATCTTGTTAGTCAATGGCAGACAGCCTTCTCAGTGGTGGCACCCGCCCTGTGGAACACCCTCCAATCAGATGTTAAGGAAATAAACAACTATCTGACTTTTAGCAGACACCTGAAACCAGCCCTGTTTAGGGAAGTTTTTAATGTTTGATCTTTTACAGTGTTTTTAATATTCTGTTGGGAGCCGCTCAGAGTGGCTGGGGTGGGGAATAAACAAACAAACAAACAAAATGGCCCCTTGCTCTGGATGTGAAACAACCATTGTGCATGTTCAAATAGTTTTGAGGGGGGAACAAATACATCAGGCAATGGATACTACACTCAGCTGTGATCCATCCACTGGTGTGGATAGGAAAATGGCAGACCACGCTAAAGAAAAACATTGAAATTTACCAGTGTTGCAGCAGGTTTGTTGCCGTTCCACAAACAGCTAAAAACGTAGCAGCAACAGCAGTGGAAACCACTCTAGTTGCACAGCACCTAATGCAAGTTGCCCAAAATGTTCTAGATGGTCAGCTCTCCCTACTATAGACACACATAAGGAACAGCTAGCAAATGTATAACCTCAGCTCCCACTGCAGAGTATGCAACTTCTTTCCCTGGGCACAAACAATAGAATATGCTCACAGCTCCGCTGTTTGGAATTCACAGTTGCAACTTGTGACTTTAATTCGGTGGTCAGGTGCCAGGAAAACTCTGCAATCATTTGTGTGTGCGTGCATGAACTGATTTGACAGCGATCAGGGTGATTACGCATCTGGGGAGATTTGAGTCCTAGAAACTTACCAAACAAAAGGGTTGGTAAAAAATAAAGAAAGTCTTCAGTACAAAAGGCTTCATCATAAAAGAGAGTGTGCATAATCTCCCATTTCTATTCCACTGGGAAGCTAAGGAGGAGTGTCTCCTTCAAGATCCAAAATTATTTTCTGCCCCGGCGTCCACAGTCAAGTCACTCCACTAAGGCTTTCCCACAATGAATTGTCAAATCATAAAACACCCTATTCTCATCAAGCCATGCAACTGGGGTATTTTAGAGGTTAGGGGTTTGATGGGCTCCCCTGAAAAGAGCCTTCTTGTCACAAAGCGGTCTTGGCTTTTTTACTGACTGGAGTAGTCTCATCTTCCTCTGTGGCTCGGGCTTTTTTCTTGGTGTATACTACGCCAGAGGCAGTCTTCCGGGCTTCTGAAATCAAAACGGAGGGAGACATTTAGAAAGGATCCCCGAATCACAAGCTGCTGGCTTGCAGAACGGCACCCAGAACGAGGCACGGCTAAGGGTACAAGGCAAGGGCTGCACACCACTGTGCTATAGTGACTTCAACCAAGGAGACCACACCTGTACAACTAAGGGAGCTGATCCATTGCAGTGGCAAGTGCTACCATCACCATCATGGCAGCGTTTTGCTTTCAAAAAAGGGACCAGATGAAATGCGGCACATGAACAGACCCATACAGGTATGTCAGCCACAACCAGGCAAGATAGGCAGCCTTTGCATCATTATTAACACTGCGACTAACTGGGCAGGTGAACAGGGCAACTCAACCGGCTCTTGCAAGATGCCCTAGAAACTAGGTCAGCACAAACCATTCTGCGCACTCCCGAGCTCCACAGACCTATAAAGTCAAAGCACTTATTTGGAACCATTTAAATGAAGGCAGTGCTGACACATCCCCTGCTCATCCAGGATGGTAGTCTAGGCCAGGAACCTGTGGCCCTCCAGCTGTCACTGGGACTTTAAAACTTCCCTCAGCGCCAGCCAGCATGGCCAAATGTCACAGATGAGGGGAGCCGTGCTCCAACAACTTCTGAGCGCATCGTGCCAAGAAATCCTAGTCTAGGGAACACGGCGTTTTAAATGCCGAACTGCAACTAAACCAGAAAAGGTGCTCTGACACTGTTTATACCACTCAGGGTGAGGGCCTGGATGGGTGGAGGGTGTGGGGGAAAGATGTTAAGCTACTCAAAAGCCACAGAGTGAGAATCTGTTGGCACAGAGTGTGGCTCACTTTGTGTGACGGACAGAGAAGGAACGGTTGGGCTGCATTAAGTGGAAAAATCGGGTGGGAACTGCTGCTCAAACCACCGGTTGTTTATTCTGTTTCAATCTGCTTGAATGTTTTATTTACTTTTACCTAGGTGTTTGGTTAAATTGGAAATAATTTTGATGCTGTAGTTTTGCTTGTTTACCTTATGGGAGATTGTTAAATTGTTTCTTGGACCTGTTTATACGGTTTTGTAATTTATGTATCTTGCCCCCCCCCCCTTTCCCGGTGACTTTTCCTATGACTTCTGTTCCCTGCTTTGGGCCTGAACACATTCATTGAAGAGCGGGTAGAAATACTATAAATAAATAAAGCAAGAGTTTTACATTAGCACAGATATACGATTCCCCCCCTGTGATTTTAATATGTTACAATAAGCCCACATTGCACTTTTTAAATAGACATTATGAAAACATTGCTTAGATTTAGGGAGGTAGCCGTGTTGGTGTGACGCAGTAGAAATATATATACATACATTGTCCAGTAGCACCTTAGAGACCAACTAAGTTTGTTCTTGGTATGAGCTTTCGTGTGCATGCTCACTTCTTCAGACTTGTTAACTTTGGACATTCTTGCAAATACGTTCGTTATCCCAGTTACTGTTCCAGCTTACCTCCATGAAGCAGGACTGCTCGGCCATTCGTAGAAACTGCTGCCTTGGCATTGCTTTCAGACAAGCCAAACAGCCACCCTCTTTCCACTTTCGTTAAGGATATTCAAGCACAAAGAGGGCAAAACATGCTTGAGGCATAGCTAAGCACAGCTCCTTTACCAACCTACAAAAGCTACTGTGGTACACAGGAAGCAGTACTGAAGTTGCCAAAGTTCAGCATCTTGAAATCACTCTCAGCTCCCCAGATATTGCAAGGATGGAAATCAGAATAACCTGTCTGACAAAAGTGCTTGTCAAATTAAAGGGGTGGGGAATCTGCAGCCCTCCTGATGTTGTTAAGACCACATTTCCACCATCCATTGCTATTTGTCTGCAGCTCCCAGCCAGCACGGACAGCATCATCATTCTAGAGGGCCACAGGTTGGCCACACCAATATTTTAACTTGGGGTGGTTGTGGCACATATTCCAAACAATGATCTGAACCATTTAGCTGCTTCTCTGGTCACAGGTGTTTAAATACAGATTCATTTTCAAGGATAGCTAGGCAGGTTTGGATCTTTCTGTTCATTTAGTATTTTTGATGCAACAACCAAACATCAGAACCGAAACACCAGCACTAGATACCCGTGATTCTGGTCTCTTAATATTCCATATGACTACAGTAAGCTAGTGTACGACCACCGAGAGTCAGAAGAATATATATTTGCAGCATTTACAGGATGTTGCACACAAAGGCATTGGGAGACTGTTCTATTTATTGGCTGCCCAACAACAAAAAGGAATCTTGAGGCACTGGAGTGGGAATCTTCTAAACTTTCTTAGAATGCCTTATCTTAATTGGCAACCCTTGCCCATTATTCTAGTAATATTATGGGTTGGGTCTTCTGTTTTCCACTTTGTTATACCTGTGTGTGGATTGTACAGTGGTACCTCGGGTTACATACGCTTCAGGTTACAGACTCTGCTAACCCAGAAATAGTACCTTGAGTTAAGAACTTTGCTTCAGGATGAGAACAGAAATTGCGGCGCAGCAGGAGGCCCCATTAGCTAAAGTGGTGCTTCAGGTTAAGAACAGTTTCAGGTTAAGAACGGACCTCTGGAACGAATTAAGTACTTACCCCGAGGTACCACTGTATGGTTTTTAAAAAGGGCTTTTAAAAGAGAAAATGTTGAATGTCACTCCCAACCCTAAACTATCAATCTGTCCTGGCTGAATCCTGAAGGTCCACCGTCAGCCAGGACCCATTTGGCTCACTGTACAAGAAAACCCCAGGAGATTATTTCCCCCCTTCACTCCCTAGTCCTTCTCTTTTTCAGCTCCGTGCTCCCTCTACACCACCCTTTCGATGACACCCTCCTTTTCAAATCTCTGCTTTGTCTTCCTCCTCCATTTCCAGCTACTTTCTCACCCTCCTAGCACTGCTTCAGCCTCACACCTTGTCTCCTGCCATCGCTACACAGCCCTTCCTTGTATCTGGGCTCTCTTGTGTTGTTTCCTCTCCAAACAAACTGACCTTTCACTCCTCTCGCAAAAAGCAGGATCATTTATGAGCATTCTGCTGCTGACAGTTTTACCCTTTCAAGGAGAGGCTAACAGCTGTATCCCAGGCAGCAAAGTTCTGAAGGTCCTAACAAACACACTTGAAAAGGATACAGGTTCGCCACATCGTACGGACCTCGTAGTTGTAGAGGCTGCAACGGAAGAGAAAGCCATTACGCATGTGGATGCTAGGTGACAAACACACAATTGTATACGCTAGGGCAGTGTTCTTCACCCTTGGCCCCCCAAATGATGCTGGACTCCCAACCCCATTGGTCTGAGACTGCCTGGTCAATGACCAGGGATTCGCTGTGCCTAGGAGTTGCTAGGAAAAAAACCCAAAGAAATACCGAATTTTAGGTAAAGGCTATGTGAGTTTCCCCAAACGAAATGGAGTGTGTGGGAAGACATGTGTGTGCAAATGCTCCTTGGTTAGCAAAAGATAAATGCAAAGGGATGATCATTCAAAAGGAACCCAGGAAGCTACCAGAGTCAGATCCTTGGTACATTTAGCTCAGTATTGTTTTCAATGACTTGGAAGCAGCTCTCCAGGATTTTAGAAAGCAACCCCAGTTCTAATGGAAGACGCCACGGATCGAACCCGGGATTTTCTGCAGGCAACCCAAGTCCTCCAATGAAGCACGAATGTGAAGCACCCATTAGTCATTGCAGGATTACACACACACACACACACACACACACACACACACACTTACCTTTTCTGCTGCACTGGATAAAATTATATTCTAGGAAATAAGGCAACACAAAAAACTAATTAGTGGAAGTTTCTGAACGCATTCTCTTTCTTCTTCGAAAGGCTTCCCCCAATGCAGAACCACCATGTGGACACAAAATGGCACATTATGCACACACCCTCTGAGCAGCCTTGTGCATTGCAGTGCACAATTCACTGTGCAGATCTCACTGGGAAGCAAACATGCCATATGCGCCTTCCTCACAAACTAATGAAGAACACCGGGGTGGGGGGTGGTGGTGGTGGGGGAAGAATCCTGTGGGCACAGGGGAAAGGGCAAGACAAGGAAATGATTCAAGAATGGTGATAAATCAAACCAAGACACTGCTATAGTGCACTTGAATCAGGATTCTCTTAAGGTGCTTGGACTGAGCGGTTACAAGTCAAGGTGCCGCAGAGATTTGAGAGGTGAAGTAGGAGCTAATAGGCCAGGGTTCAAAGCCCTCCTTAGTCATGAAGTTCACTGGGCGGGGGGCTGTGACTTTTGCTTAGCCTAACAATATGATACAATAATCTTTATTGTCATTGTCCCATACAGAACAACGAAATTGAAAAAATCTACATCAGACATTCAAAAACCAACAAGCCTGCTATCCCTGCTATCCCTGCTATCCCAGCCTGGTTAACCCCCTAAAAACTCTGATACCTCATAATTAAATACAATATACTCCCATAGAGACTACCTTAACGCTGCATTTAAAACCAAAATGGCGGCAAGTCTTTATAACCCTGTACCTTCTTCCAGGGTTGTCGTGAGGATAAAGTAGTGCATGTATGTACAGGCCTATGTGTTGGGGTGGGTGGGGGAGAAGCCATATACAGCTGCACCTTGGAAGCTGAACAGAATCTGTTCCGGAAATCCGTTCGGTTCCGAAACATTCCAAAACCAAATTGCGGCTTCTGATTGGCTTCAGGAAGCTCCTGCAGCCAATCGGAAGCCGTGGAAGCCCCATCAGACGTTCGGCTTCCAAAACACTCACTTCCGGTTTTCAATCATTGGGGAGCTGGAACGCTCAACTCCCAAGGCGTTTGGGAGCCGAGGTATGACTGTATGCTGCTTCAGCTCCAGGAGGGAACAGTGGGCTATAAATAATAAAAAACATGGCATGGACTTTGGAGAATATATTCTCAGAAAAAAACTGGAATAGGTTACATTATTTCATGCAAACCTGACTCATCCTAATTCAAAACCACAACATCCACGACCGGCAAGAACAAAATGATGAATAAGACAAGCACCCCTTCTGCTTTTGCTTGTCATGGGCATGGGGGTGGTAGTCTGGGGCCCATCAGCTGGGGATGAAATGGGCCCCCACCCACACAGGACAGAACTTCGCTGATCCCACAGGCATGCAGACAAATATTGGTCTGCCAATTAAAAGTAAGAAGCACAGGACCCATTCTCTGTGGCTTTCAGGACCTATTGAATTAATTAGCTGCTTAGTTGAAGCAGAAGAAAGGGGGAGGGGTTGGTCTACTTGAGAAGGGGTGGGGGACACTGGGTCCCTCAGATATTGCTGAACTACAATCCCCATCATCCTTGGTCACCGGCCATGTTTGCAGGGGCTGATGGGAGTTATAGTTCAGCAGCATCTGAAGGGCTTAAGGTCCCCTACTCAAATCTTATAATCTCCCGAAGTTGTGGATTACTCTTAGGACGGCAGCAGGCTATGTATGCACCATGCACTTAAAACAACAACAACCCCAAACACTTTCCTGTTTTAAATAGGTAGGAAAGAGATCGATGGAGGACCTCTTTTCTTTCTCTTTCTCTTTCTCTTTCTCTTACTCTCCACAACCTCCCCCTACTCAAAAAATAGCCATAAAGTGCTGAGGTTCTGTTCTGACAGAGAGGGAAGGTTTCACAGAGGCTAATAAAAAGCACCCTCTTCCTGAAACCTTCCCCACCGGAGCCCCAAACATATTTCAAGGCTCCTGTTTTAGGATGGCCCAAATTCTGCTGAGAAGACACTCTTGTTAAGCGGCAGTGACCCAGACATTTCCCCTCTCCCCTTCCTTCCTTCAACAGGCAATCTGATGTTAACAGTCTGCCCTCCTTCAGGAGTTCCACAGCTTTCCCGAGAAAGTTTGCAAAGTCAGAAACATATCAGTCACACCGAGCTCTCACACAAGCATCATTTGCTGCGGTGATCGAAGACCAACAGAAGGAAAAGGGGAACAGTTCAAGCTGCCTATTCTTAATTCAAAACAACATTAACTGGAAGGGGGGGGGGAGTTCTGACGAAAAAGAAGTGGGGCAAACCTGCTCGTTTTGAGCCTCACCTTCCCTCGGCAGATCTGCATCAGGCTGAGTGCATTTGAAACCGTGTATCTCCTCATTGTGGAGTCTTTGATGGCAGGCACATAAATAAGTTCAAAGTAGATGCCTCGATCTATTGCCTTCACATGAAAGAAAAGCAAACAGACGCTGAAGGGAGTGTGACACAGTCAACGTCTCACAGCTATTGTATATTATGGATGTGTTTTCCCCGCTGTCTCGTCTCCTCCAAAAAGTAGAGGCATCCAGTGGGACAAAGTTAATGGCTCTCTAGAAAAGCAAAAGTCCCTCCTCCTCCTCCTCCTCTGATACACATAACATAAAAAGGACACAGTATTCCATGCTCACGCACTTGGGATTTCCAAACTGTAAAGTGTTTGGCAATTCCACTCCTCTGCAAATCTGGTATTGCTTCTTCTGTTTTTTAAAAAAAGTTTCAACAGGAGAATTTGGATTTTGGCAGGGTGTATAAAAGTCCAAGCAGTGCCACAAAACCTCATGCCCACCTTGTTAATTAATTAATGCTATTTATATACTGCTTAATTACTGTAGAATTCTATCCATTATATTTTACCTGCCCAATCAGAATGAATTTCAGGAACCAAAAAAGTCATATTGAAGAATCCAATTTTCGAGCTGCCTGGCCCCCAAATGTGCAACTAGGCACTCCGTTTTGGCAACTGTAACCCTGATTTAAGAATCCATTGGGTGCCTGGGCTTATATATCTGTGTTTCTAACATGATACCTGACCTGCTTCTCCACAGAGGACAAAACTGTTAATGGACAAGCAGAAAAACACAAGGAGAAAGAAGAGGAATGTCAGGACTGCGCACGACATTTGCAGGCCGCCTTACCACATTCACAGAGGGTCTCTTGATGTAGAACGGCAGCTTTTCTGTTACGTTGATGCACACAATATCTACATCTAAGGTTGTGCAGGCCACCTGTATTGTAAATTTGAAAGCAGAGGGTTACTTTTTTTAAAAAAAGCCGGACACTGACATACTTGTATAGTTCCCCTACAAGTTCTAGTATTGTGCCCTGCAGCAGAATAGCTGACAGGAAAGCAATTGTTGCCCAAGTGTCAAGGAAAGAGTTAGCACCCAAGGACTCTACTCCAGACAAGGGATGGGGAAAGCTGTGGCCTTCTAGGCATGGCTGAATGGTAGCTCCAATCAGTCTTAGCCAACATTGTCAGCTCCCATCTTCATAGGATGGATATAAGCAGTTTTACTGGATCGCTTCTATTCCGTACAGTGGTGCCCCGCAAGGCGAATGCCTCGCAAGATGGAAAACCCGCTAGACGAAAGGGTTTTCCGTTTTTGAGTTGCTTCGCAGGACGAATTTCCCTATGGGCTTGCTTCGCAAGACGAAAATGTCTTGCGAGTCTTGAGATTTTTTTTTCCGCTCCCCCCCCTTTTTCTAAGCCGCTAAGCCTTTAATAGCCTTTTAGCAGCTAATCCGCTAAGCCTTTAATAGCCGCTAAACCGCTAATAGCGCTAATCGGGTTGCTTCGCAAGATGAAAAAACCGCTAGACGAAGATACTCGCGGAACGGATTAATTTCGTCTTGTGAGGCACCACTGTATGTTGATTATTCTTAGTTGAAAATTTAAGGGTTTTGTTGAAGCGAGAACTGAGTAGATTGGGTGGGTGTACAGAGAGCCTGATGGTTGAATCAAGTGTATGTGGGGGCTGTTGTGTTTACGTTAATAGTTTTGTGTACTGTGAATGTGTATGTGATTTTGGAGACGGTATGATTATGTGTTTCTTTTTATAAGATGTACGAGATTTCCAAGATATTATACTATAATTATGCTGCATTTTGATGTTTTCCACAGGATCTGCTTTTGTGGCTCTTAAGTTGTCTTTACAAATGCACATTGTCTAAAAACATTTATTGTTGTTTAATTACGTTACTTAAAATGTGGAACTGCTGTGAGGTACAGAATGCAGAATCCGAACTGCATTTCTTACATCGGTACCATTTTGTTGAGATATACAAGCTGCTTAGAGATTTCTGCTGACGTGTGAAGCGGTATATAAACTAAACGAAGCCCAACAGCACCTGGCAGACCACAGGTTCTTCATCCCTGCAATGGACCTAGTGTATTCTTCCAGCATTGAATGTTGAGGTCAGGGCGGAAAGGGCAGCATTCAAAGAGCAGAGATCTCATACACTTAATGATGGTATGTAAAACCCTGGAGCAAACTGTCAGTACCTCTAACTGCTGAGAGGAAGGAAGGAATATTTCTGAGCCAAAAGATGAGGGAGGTTCTCTTTGAACACCTCACTGAGCTGCAGCCCTTAGGAATATCCGTTTACCACCCCCCATCACACATTCCTCACGAGTCCCGAAACTTTGGGGAGGTAGTCTAACTGAGACGAAGGAATGCAAAGGAGGAATCCAACTAGAAAAGGTTATGTACCAGAGAATTTGGAAAGCACATACACTCCCGTCATATAATATCAAAACGTAGTATATCTATGGGCTTTCCCCTCCTGAGCGTCACATACAGTGATCCTTACAATAACCCCGTAAGGCAGGACAGCACTGCAGAAGAGAGGCTAGGACAGAGGATGTAGTTTGTCCAAGGGCCCTCAGGGAGTGTCTAGGGCAGTGTTAAAGCTCGACAGCTAGCAATTTCCTTGCCACCAGAAAGAAAACTCAGCTGATTCCATTCTTGAAACCGTGGCAACATAATTATTCACACCATCAAAAGGAATCTTAAACAGAATCTGCATCAGCCAGGGACACAAAACCCACAATAAAGGGAGTTCTTCAAACTGCAGCAGCAGCAAAGCTGGCCAACATTCGTCTGGAACGACGATGTTAGAAAAGGAAACTTAGCCACTGGCTTTTGTACAAACTCTCAATTTTTCCATGACTTGTAGGGATTTAAAATACTAAGTATGCAGAGAAAAGAAAACCTTGGGGTAGGGGTGAGGGCAAGGTGGGAAGAATGCTGAAATATGGCCTATTATTCTGGAAAAATTATTTCCTTCCTTTAACAAGAGGCAACACCGCCATCTGCTGGATACAGGACTGCTCTCCATACCAAATATACAACTTGAAAATCCATCTAGTTCCTGCCCCAGTGTGCAACTGTTGTACGTTTACAATTTAAAAACCCCATATTGTTGCTAGATAAAGAATAGCAGTATTTTTTCTCTTGCCTTGGCATTCACCCAAGAAGCAGCGTTCAGTGAAATCTCTCCTCACATCAGAAAGAACAGAAATCTCCATTAGAAGCAGTAGTAGCATGCATGTAACCCTGCGGGATGCATTCCCTTTGTGGGTATAAACCTTCTTGCACTGAGAAAGACAAAAGGTTGGGACAATGGACATGACTCCAACCTCTGTAGAACAGGCTACATCAGAGATTCTCATGCAGGAGAGCAAACAAGAGTCACTCTCACAGTTCAAAGCCCTTGAGGAGGCAGAGAAGTGAAGGGGGTAGCCTAGAGAGAAGGCTGGTGGCCTGGGGAGAGTCTCAGCAGCTGGATACGAGGTCTGAAGGGCCAAATGTGGCCTGTAGGCCCAAGACTTCCCAGCCCGATATAGCACTTTGAACACTTCAAAGCCCCTCACAAATGTGTTTGGACAACAGTATCTTGGCTTACTAAGCCAATATGAAGGAAGCACATGTCCGGCTACAGTTTTTTGTTATGTCCAGTCCAGGAAGTCTTTCTCATCAGATGCAGCTTGAGCTGTGGCCACCAAGGAAAAATGTCCCTTTGGGTCATCTGACATCACTGTGATGTCAGATGACTGACAAGCAAGCAGCTTTCAGAGGGCCTGTCTTAGCGAAAACACAGAGCGAGTCAATAATCTGCAAGTGGCTTGGGGAGAGTCACTATTGGGCAGGGGTAAGCAAACTAAGGCCCAGGGGCCAGATCCGACCCAATCGCCTTCTAAATCTGGCCAGTGGATGGTCCAGGAATCAGTGTGTTTTTACATGAGTAGAATGTGTGCTTTTATTTAAAATGCATCTCTGGGTTATTTGTGGGCATAGAAATTCATTCACCCCCCCCCCAAATATATATAGTCTGCCCTCCCACAAGGTCTGAGGGACAGTGGACTGGCCCCCTGCTGGAAAGGTTTGCTGACCCCTGCTCTTGGGCATCAATCACTGAGCTGCCCATTGGCAGACCTGTGATCCACAGCAGCAACTACACCACATGAAAAAATAAAGAGTAAGATCAGGCATTAGCAGTGCCATTAGCAGCTTCTGAGTTTTTGCAACTTCCTTCACAATTCAAATGCTTGGGGGGAGGGGGAGGGAAGCAATTTTAAAAACTTACATGAAAGAGTTTTCCACTCTTAGGAAACACAGCAAAGATGTCATAAAATTTTATGTTAGTAGATGTCGATCTCTAGGGCAGAAAAAAGAAAAAGTGTAACATTAAAAAAAAAAACATTTTTCAGACTAGCCATTTAAGCTGGTGCTTTAAGCCTGGCCATAGCCCATCTCAGCCAATGCCCCAACAAACAGCAGAGAACTGTAACTGAAGGGACTGGAAGAAGCTGCTTGTAGCCAACGTGTCTCCTCCAGCACTTTAAATCCAATGCACTTTCTAAAGGGGGTGGGGGAAATGCCCTGTCAAAAAATGGAGTGTTTCCCTCTCTCCTGAGAAAGCAATTTGCATTCAAAGTGCTGGGGGAAGTTTAGAATACAAACTGCTTTCTCTCCATCGGGGAAAATGCGGTTTTCAAGCATGTTGGCTCCCAGAGAAGAGCTCACCGCCAAGACTACAAACCTTGGCTACAGATCGTGGTTGAGGAAGAGACACTTTAACCACAATACCAGGTTCGGATGATACACTAAGCCAAACCTTGACTTGGCTCCTGCGCTGTGCTAACAAAACTGGAGGCAAGCAAAGCAGGCTTGAATGCCTCTGAGTGGGCACATTTGCAGTCCTGGTAAATTTGGTTTACCATGGTGCGCAAGCGAGGCCAGTTTTTCCACTGCTCATGAAGGCAGATTGCCGGTTGATCCATCCAACATTGGCTAGATGTAGGCCTTTTTTCATCTGGCCTGGGAGGGAGATGCCCTGATTGACTCCAGCTACAAAAAACTGAAGCTGCTTCTTCAGCACAAGGTTCACTTGTAGACAACCATTTTCCTGAGAGAAGTCAGTATCTTCAAATGGGCAAACAAAGAAGTTTTTACTGCAGTTTTCCCCCCAGATTGCCAGTGTAACATTTCTTCCATAAATAACGAAAAGATGTGCTGGCAGGCACATTAGTAAAATTATATTGTGAACTAGTACCTTTGGTAGACATTTATGAAGGTGGTGGTGATGTTCCATGCCTTGCCAACCATTCTTAAGTTTCTGACAATTCTAGAGCATTTATTACTCAAGAACTATGGATTTTCTTCACTGTCTGCAAATTTGACTAGACTTTTAAAAAACTACAAATTTAGACATTGAGGGCCATTCAAATTTCTTGTGGAAGAGAGTTCCAGAGGTCAGCAAAGTTGTAAGGTAAAGGTAAAGGGACCCCTGACCATTAGGTCCAGTCGTGACCGACTCTGGGGTTGTGGCGCTCATCTCGCTTTATTGGCCAAGGGAGCCGGCATACAGCTTCTGGGTCATGTGGCCAGCATGACTAAGCCGCTTCTGGCGAACCAGAGCAGTGCACAGAAACACCGTTTACCTTCCCGCCGGAGCGGTACCTATTTATCTACTTGCACTTTGATGTGCTTTCGAACTGCGAGGTTGGCAGGAGCAGGGACTGAGCAACGGGAGCTCACCCCGTCGCAGGGATTTGAATCGCCGACCTTCTGAACGGCAAGCCCTAGGCTCTGTTGTTTAACCCACAGCGCCACCCACATCCCCTACAGCAAAGTTGTAGTCTATCACTATAAAGCACAACAGATTCTAAGCCACTCTTCTTCTTCTTCTTCCGTCTGTGAAATAGAAAAGGTTGTGAACTGCATCATAAGCTTACTAGAATATTGCAGTGCGATGGATCAGAAACAACAAGTGTTAGCCTTGATAAAATCTTAATTGGCTTGGATTTCCCCTGCAAAGAAGAAGAGAAGCAGCCGTGAGGAAAAGGAGTGAAACAGAAACCTTGGCAACATGCCTCCTACTCATCATTAATACAAAAATGAAGAATGATGCTGTGTTCAGAATTGGTGCCCACACAAATCTTGTATCTTTGCCCTTTCTTTAATTCGTCAGGAGTGTTGGCAACCAAGGTCTATTTTTAGTCAGACAAAAGAGCTATAACTGTGCTGTTCATAGTCAAGTAATAAGCCCTTACACCGAGGACTCAAGGACTCTGCTCCTGGTGGAGAAGACTCAGTTAGTTTTCACTGAAGACGCTTATAACTGCTGCAGTTAAGCAGCTCCTTGCTTACAAGCCCACTTCTAACAACTTCACTCAGAATTACCCTTAAATTGCAATCTATCAATGGAAAGTGAGACAGTTGAACATTTCTGCTAATTACCCCCCTGCTTCCTTGTTGCAATGTACTCTATGTGGGGCTACCTTTGAAGGTGACCTGGAAACTACAACTACTCCAGAATGCGGCAGCTAGATTGGTGACTGTGAGCGGCCGCCGAGTCCACGTAACACCGGTCTTGAAAGACCTACATTGGCTCCCAGTACATTTCCGAGCACAATTCAAAGTCTTGGTGTTGACTTTAAAGCCCCAAATGGCCTTGGCCCAGTATACCTGAAGGAGCGTCTCCACCCCCATCTTTCTTCCTGGACACTGAGATCCAGCACCAAGGGCCTTCTGGAGGTTCCCTCACTGCGAGAAGTCAATTACAGAGAACCAGGCAGAGGGCCTTTTCGGTAGTGGCGCCCACCCTGTGGAACGCCCTCCCATCAGATGCAGCTCTGTCTCCCAACACCTCTCAGCACCCTTAAGAAACTACAGTTCCCAGAATTCTTTGCATAGTCAGTACTAAAATGTACAGCTGCTACTACTACTATTTCCATGTTTTAAGTAATAGCAACAATAAATCTCAAAGGAAGTACGTAAGTCAAATAAGGAACATAGGAAATGTTTTGATGCAAATGACTCTCCTTTTCCAGAAAAATTCCCCACAGAAAAAAGTTATCCCGAAAACCCACATCACTGCCTTCAATAGATACTCTAAACATGTCCTTGAGAACAAATTATAGCTAGTAAAACACATCTGGACATACCTGTACAAGAGGCAGGGCTGTAAACAATTCTTTGGGAGACAATGGCTTGACAATTTCCTGGAAATAAACAACACACAAACATGCTTAGTTGTTTTAAATGAAGCATGTAAGCAAAAGCTAGGAAGCTATTTTTTAAAAACACACACACAATGATGTAAAGTAGCAACCAAACTAAGATGAATGGGATCTTTTATACACTGTGCTTGCTGGACTGGAGAAGTAGCAGGTGGGCCAAATTCCAGAGCTCCTGACAAACATATGTTGCACAAGGCTTCGTCGTGAAGACTTACATTTAAAGTGCATTCCTATACATTGTCTATTCACTTCTGAGTCCAATTGGGTTTAATAGCATTTGATCCCAGTAAGAGCGTATAGGATTGCAGCTTCAAGTCAGCTTTTTTGCTTCTAACTAGGAAACTCTAACAGCATATAAACATGTAAGAAAATCAGGGCTTATACAGACACATTTATGATCAGACCCACTGAAGCACTCAGACTGGCTGGGGTAGCTCAGTCAGTTGAGCCCTATGTTGGGCAAAAAAGAAATCTGGCACTAAATGACCCTCGTGGTCCCTTCCAACCCTACGATTCCTTTTTTGTACTATACACATCCCACTGGTTGGGCATAATACTCCCAAAGTTAATGAGTGTGAAATCCATGCTCATGTGAAAGATGACGACAGTGAAATGCACTAATGGCTCAAATGTGCTGATCATGCTCATTTATGTTTTCTGGTGCACGTTCAACTTCAGCCAAGATGGAATTTCAGAGTTTTCTTAAAGACTCAGCACCAGCCTCCTCATATGCGAAGCACACTTTTATCTCCCGCCCAATCTGAAGCACAGCTAGAAATCACGTGATACAGGAGTGTTTATATTTGAAAGCCACTGCCATGGACGCTTAATGACTAGTGGCTTATAGCAGCCATTATGGCTACGCCACAGCCTTTTTTTGTGTGGCGGCCCCAACCGAGTTCAGTGGGGCTTACCTCCAGGTAAGCATGTCCATCAACGAGAAAAATGATTCCATAAACAAAAGTGGGAGGGAGGAGAATTTATCAAAACTCCTCACACTGCTGAGCCTATTTCCCAATGTGTCAGTTGAATTACCATTAATCTGGGTGTCCTACTACAACCACAATACCATTTTTACACAGGGGGTGGTGAGACTTCCTCCATTTGGGTAGAGGTAAAATGGTAAAAGGTAAAGGACCCCTGGATGGTTAAGTCCAGTCAAAGGTGACTATGGGGTTGCAGCACTCATCTCGCTTTCAGGCTGAGGGAGCTGGTGTTTGTCCACAGACAGCTTTCCGGGTTATGCGGCCAGCATGACTAAACCGCTTTTGGTGCATGGAGGACCGTGACAAGTGCCAGAGCACACGGAAACACCGTTTACCTTCCCGCTGCAGTGGTACCTACTTATCTACTTGCACTGGCATGCTTTCAAACTGCTAGGTTGGCAGGAGCTGGGACAGAGCAACGGGAGCTCACTCTGTTGCGGGGATTCGAACCGCCAACCTTCCAATCAGCAAGCCCAAGAGGCTCAGTGGTTTAGACCACAGCGTCACCCGTGTCCTGCATTTGGGTAGAGCTGCAAAATGAGCACGTGAAAAAGACCCCTAACACACACACACACCCCTGTGAGCATGGGCCTATGGAGTGAGTTCAGTGCCCTTGTTCCTCTTCTGCATGTTCAGTATATATACAACAGAGGGAAGAAAGGCACACCTGTATAGTATGTAATTAGCAGCATGATCGCTGCTAGCATACAACTCTCCCACTACTTCTTTTGCAGTCATCTCTCAATTCAGCAAAGTTTCTATAACGGTCTGCTTTGCCACACCTGCACAAGCCCCGATAGTGTTTTAAAATAAAAAGTCCTACCTTCTTCTTTTCATCATAGTCAACGACGTAATTGATTGCAACAGTTGAATAGCCAACTAAAAAGCAAAGCACAGGCAATTTTTAATAATAATAATAATAATAATTAAAACAACAATGGATAGAATTGAGTCGTCATGTTCAGAGATGCACAACTCAGAGGAACAATAGCAATTGCTATTCAGGATTGTATGAGTTTGCTTGCTTGCTTTCCTCTCACCTCTCCATCCTTTCCTTTTTGTGTCATGTCTTTTTCAGATTCTAAGTCCAAGACAAGGGAATATGTTAGGCAGTTAGTTTTATTTGTTTATAAGAAAGCCTGATACTTTTTTTGGGCTGGAAACCAGGGTATAAATACTTCTAATGAATAAACAGAATTCCTCACGTTTGATACAACGAAAACAAGTGTAGCTTTGTTGCATGTCAGGATCTGCCAGTAACCCAGTAAAAGAAGCCCCAAAAACATTATCTCCTCTAACTACCAGAACCATATTTCAGCTTAGATCTGGGAGGGAGAAGGGAGCAGTTTCTTAAAACACATCCTACAGACAAAAAGCTCCCCGGCTGCAGTGGTTTTATTTCTACCCTTCTATCCTTGTCTAGGAAACCTTGCTACCAAAACAAATCATTCTTGTACTGATTTTGAGGAGTTAACACCAGGTCTATTTCAGTGTGCCAGAAGTTCTCAGGTACCATCAAAGTAAGCCTTCCTTCGGCTTCTTAAAAAGAAAATCGGCGTTAGGGACTGTGCTCCTGCTCTGAGCGCATGTGCCGAGCCTTCCCCAATCCGACCATTTAGGGACGACCCTGAAATCCTGGGCAAACCGAGGCAAGTCCTGCCCAACAACGTGTCGCCAGCGATCCTTACGAACCATGTCGTCTCGAGGAACAAAATGATCATCCCCGCGCACCCGGGGATCGGAGCCTGAGCGCGCGGGCTGAGAGGGAGCAGAGGCGCGCCTAAGTCCTTGCTCATGGGGGTGGGAGGACGGGAATGAAGATTTGAACTCCAATTAAAAACTCTGTACGTAGCTTTTTAAAAAGAAAAAAAATTACTCCCAATTTAAGAATGCAGCAAAGGCACGCGCGCGCACAACCCCGCGCGTTATCCTTTCCAAAAGCGCAGATGGAGCATCGACACAAGGGGCAAGGCAGGCATCCCAAACCCGCGAGGGGGGCATGCAGAGCCAAGCTGGGGGTGCAGAGCCAGACATTTCCTCCCCCCGCCCCCGCTCGCTCTTTGCCCGCTGCCCACTCACGGTGCGCTGCTGCCTCCACCAGCTTCTGCAGAGACGCCTTCTCCGCCAAGTGGGGAATATTCAGGTCCACAAACTCAGCCATGTTGAAGCCACGTGGTGGGGAAGCGCAGCTTCAATGTCCTGGCGCCCCGCTGCATGCTGGGAGTTGTAGTCTTTCCGCCCCCCTTTCTTTCTCCTCCGCCCTCGTCTCACAGCGGGCGGGGATGTGGGACGGCTCAAGCTTAAAATCATAGCAAATTTGGAAGGGGTCCATACCCTCCAACATTTCTCTGATGAAAATAGGGACGCCCCTTTAATATTTATACCCCACACATTTTACTGGGTTGCTCCACCTTCTCTGGACAGCTTCCAACATACATAAAAGCATCATAAAAGATTAAACATTTTTTTTTTTTAGCCCATTCCCTATACAGTACAGGATTGCCTTCAGATGGCTCGGGGGTTGGGTAACTCCATACCCTTCAACATTTCTCCAATGAAAATAGGGACAGCCTAAGGAAAAGTGGGATATTCCAGGATCAAATCAGAAACCGGGATGGCTTCTCTAAATCAAGGACGTCTCTGGAAACTAGGAGGGTCTGGGGGTCGCAAGAGCCGCCCATTCCAACCCCCTACAATGCAGGAATCTTTTGCCCAACGTGGGGCTTGAACCCACGACTCTGAGATGCTCTACAACCCAAAGCTGCAGGTTGTATAGCTTGCATATAAAGACAGGTCGCTGCTGGAAGCCTGAAGAGCTGGTCAAACTGGGAGACGATGCTAAGCTAGATGGACAAATAGCCTGACATGGAGGGAGGCAGCTTTCTGGGTTCTTACCTAGCCCTGGAGTCAGTGCTTGAATTATAGAGGGAAAGGGCAGCCTTTAATGACATTCATAGACTCCATCATTTCCTGTTAAAGCCATATCATACCGCGCCCCCCCCGAGCACTTTTAAAAGTAGTTAAGGCAGCAGTGCAGCTGGTACAGTATCCAGGGTCCCTCTGGCTCTCCTGTAATTCAAGCACACCCCTGGAATTCATTGAAGGTTTCATAATCTATATTCCTACATTTATGTTATATCCTACCTTTCCTTCAAGGAGCTCTCTCTTCCCATTTTATCCCCACAACAACTATTTAGTTGGGTTAGGCTAAGAGACAGTGGGCACCCAGTGAGCTTCATTGGCTGCAGTGCCAGATTTACGTATAGGCTAAGCAGGCTGAAGCCTAGGGCCTCTAAATCTAGGGGGCCTTGCCACCCCTCCCGCTCCCCAGCAGGCAGTCTCCCCTCTCCCAAAATTGCAAACCCAAGACTTCATACAAAGGCAGGGCAACTCAGGCCCAGCAACTATGAGACTCAGGTGCCCAATTTGAAGCAGTGGGGCACAACTTGACCCCCCCCCCCAATTCACAGCCAAAGTCTGCAAAATCTTATGGATATAAATAAAATCCATCTAAATTGCCCTGGTGCGGGAGGCCCCTTAGGAACAGCACACAGGGCCCAATTTGGCTCAATTGCTTCAACTGCCTTAAGGTCAGCCCTAGTGAGACTGTGCAAGGGTTGGACTGACAAGCCCTGCACCTTCTAGGTCCCTGGTGGCACTATTCAGAGTACAGAGTCATGGACTTGTTTTGGAAATAAAGGGGGGCACTCATTGGAAATCAGTTTTGTCACCTCCCCCCCCAAAAAAACCCCCGGGATGATGAGCCCAGCCACCTTTTATTCACAGTCACATAAGCACTACACAACAGCATGGCCATAAACCTGTACGTTCAACTGCTGAAACATACACCCAATATGTAGCAATGGAAATTTATGTTACTGGTTTATGAATGAACACTGTGTTTTATGAATTGACTCTGTGTTTTGTGAATTACCTAAGAGCCACCAACAGGGAGCTCTAGAAACTGACAGCTAACCAATTGGGTACTACCAGACAGCGACCCCTATTGCTGAAAGCAGGTAACCAGCAGGGAATGCTTCAGCTCAGCCTTTGCACTGTTGACTGAACACCCCCTGCTGTGCAGATAATGGAGAAAGCTCGTAAATTGTATCCCTTCTGGCATCCTGGCCAACTCTATTACACTGGTGTAAACCCTGGTGCACCAGAAGCACAGAATAGCAGCAAATAAAATCCGCTCATACGTCAGCGACTGATAAGACTTGTCAACCAGTTCTTCCAAAGTCTTCCTAAATTATAAAGCTCCAAAATACAGGCCAAAAGAGAGCAGGTCTGGGAAGAGCGAGGCATACAATGGGCACCACCAGTGAAAAGGCCCTGCTCCGTGTAACTCTTGTCCTGTCATTTGATAGAGTGGCCACTTGCCCTCCTTCTTGACATGGAATGCTCTCCACTGGAGTCTCCAGGTCCAGTACAAAGACCATAAGAAGGGAGAGCAGGGACCTTGAAGTTCCCAACAGCTCTTAATCAAGCAAGCAAGCACACAGGTCACCTTTGTCACAGTCAGGACGCCTATGTCCTGGCCAGGCCTGCACCCAATCTTGTTTTTGTATAATCTTGTTTGTCCTCAGTAACCAAAATTATATTATCAACATATACAAGCAGAAAAGTTGTTTTCCTTCATTTGCAAGGAATTGAACAAAACAAAGTGGCACTAATAAAGAAAAGTTCCAAGGTGGCAACAGAAAGCAAACTAAAAATGCTTTTGCAGTTCATCAAAACTATCCAGCAATATCAAGTTACAGGAAAACTGGTGCTATTAACAGTAATCCTTCTAGTTGGTTAATTGGTTCAGCAACTTCCATGCATATGACGTGTGATGCTAATTACCGTATTTTTCGCTCTATAACACGCACCCGACCATAACACGCACATAGTTTTTAGAGGAGGAAAACAAGAAAAAAATATTCTAAACGAAACAGTGGATGTATGATTTTTGTGGTTCATGCTGTGGCCACAGACATGTGATCTGACAGTGAGTTTGGAGTAGCCCAATGCAAAAATCCTGAGGATCCATGTGGATCCATGCTTTGTAACCACGTTTTTGCACCACTGCGGCCCCAGGCAACAGTGGGTGCGTGATTTTTTTGGTGCAAGATGTAGCCATGGACATGCTATGTGATCTGATGGTGAATTTGGGGTGACCCAGTGCAAAAATCCTGAGGATCCATGTGGATCCGTGCTTTGTAATCACGTTTTAAGTGGGGAGGGAAGGAAAAGCACTCAAGGGACAAGGAGCACACGTGGGGTATGTGGAGAAGGATGCTGCTAATAATGAAGAAGAGGGGTATAAGAGGAGAAGGCTCCTCTCCTCTCCCACTTTGCTCCTTTAAATCAAGCAGGCTCTGCTTTTCTTCCTCCTCCCCGCTCATTCCCGGCTTAGCGAGCTGAAAAACTTTGCTGCTATGTAGCGAGCTGAGTGGGGAGGAGAGAGGGACAGAGAGCCTGCTTGCTTTAAAGGAGCCAACCGGACAGGAGCTGCTTACACTCGTGTAAGCGGCTCCTCTCCCGCTTTGCTCCTTTAAAGAAGCAGGCTCTCTGTCCCTCTCTCCTCCCCACTCAGCGGCTCTTCTCCCGCTTTGCTGTTTCAAAGCGAGCCACGGAGGAGGGAAGGAAGGGGAACCATGGATCCTCTGCTCACGACTGCAGCAGATCCCCCGCCACCCGTAGAGCATTCCTCCATAACACGCACAGACATTTCCCCTTACTTTCTAGGAGGAAAAAAGTGAGTGTTATGGTGCAAAAAATACAGTATTTCCCCCAAGAGATTCAGGTGAGGGTCAGATGCCTTGTCAATCCCAGCAGGTATATAAGAGGACGACCTGGCCTGCCCAGCATGGAAGACTTGTGTATAGTACGCAGTTCTGAAAGGGCCAGAAAGGGTAAACCACCCAAAAGGTATGCTGAAGAGTTTGCTAAAACAGTCATAGCAGATACAGAGGAACTGCCATAGGCGGAAGGGACAGAGTGAGAACCGGAAAAGATGCCAAAAAGCAGACTAAGATTGTAAAGGAAGAGAGGCATCGAGGAGAGAAAGAGCCAAGAAGCAACACAGTGACTCCGCGAGGCCAGAACTGGACTAGGCATTGACAGGAAAATATTCTTCCTAGACCTGCTGAAAGAGGCAGTCATTAAACCGCTTCTTAAAAAAACAATTCTAGACCCGGCCAATATGGCCAACTATCGCCCAGTCTCAAATCTTCCATTCTTGGGCAAGGTGATTGAGCGAGTGGTTGCTGAACAACTCCAGGTACGCCTGGAAGAAGCGGACCATTTGGATCCCTTCCAGTTGGGATTCAGGCCTCATCATGTTGAATATAGACTATAAAATTTTTACTGGGGTCTTAGGAAATAGGATGAAAATCATTTTTAAAAGAATTATAAGGAAAGACCAGGCCGGTTTCCTACCAGAAAGACAAAAGATAACACTAGGATAATTATCGACCTATTGGAATATGCTGAAATGAACCTGAGTAAAAAAATAGTAATGTTATTGGTAGATGCCGAAAAGGCGTTTGATTGTATCTCGTGGAGTTTCCTGACGGAGACATTTGAAAGTTTGAGAATAGGAAAAAGAATAATGAATGGAATTAAAGCTATCTATAAAAAGCAAAAAACGAAGTTAATGAAATTACAGAGGGATTTGATATTGAGAGAGGGTTAGACAGGGATGCCCCTGTTGCCACTGTTATTCATTACGGCGCTGGAAACCCTTCTTAAGAAAAGACAAGGAAATTAGAGGGATAAATCTGAAACCCCCTTCACTGGGATTCTTCTTGCCAGTTTTGCTTCCCCCTCCCGCCCCCTCACCCGTTAGCTTCATGTGTTTCATGGCTGTGCACAACGCCCCCAGCAGCAAGGAATCCAGAGAGATGATCTAGTATAGATATGAAGTCAGAAATAACATATGTGTTATACGTGAGTTTATGCACAAACACTGGCAGAGGAAGAGGCATGTGGAGGGAGCCCACTGCCCCTGGCAGCATGATCCCGGCGGGGTGCCATCGCGGCTGTCGCCCCTCCCGCACTGGGCACCACGCCCCTACCGGCAGCGCGCCAGCCCTGCCCAGCCTGCGCTCCGCCACTGTGTACAAAACAGTGAAATTATTTCTACGCTAAGTCTTCCTGAGATAACATTTGAAAATCACCTTTCCACTGCACAGAGAAATCCACAGGGATAATGTCCATACCTTGC